ATATCAGTATTTTTCAAAAGACAATCAACCTGCTCCAAGAACTATGTATCTCTAAAGTGGATATTCTTCTGTGGATCCCTTTTCCGCCAATCTATGAAAATCACAAAATAAACATCTATACTCATGAACTGCCATTTTAAAACAAGATCTTCCAGATGTCATAGAGCAATAATGATTACATTCAGTTAAACTTTAACAACAATATCATAATAGCAACCGATGGTTAAAAAAATACTAATCAATCATCAATAGGAATTTCAATCCCCAAGGAAAAAAAAGTTCGACAAAATTTCATACTGAAGGAAATTATTTCAATTTTCACAGCTGAAGCTATAGCCATATGGACTGCGTTAAAAATTGGGTTTCTGAAACAGAAAACTATGTCATCCTGACGGACAGCTTATCGGTTCTAAAAAGTATCCAAAATATTAATAGAAAATCCAATACGATAATATTAAATTTAAGTTCAACTTTACATGAGTGTCTCCAAATAGCTCAGTCAATTACATTCATTTGGGTACCAGCTCACAAAGGAATAGAGATTAATGAAGAAGTTGATAAATTAGCTAAACCTCTCCAGAACCGTGGAATATTATTCCTTGGATTACTTGGGAAGATCTACATACATATTTTAAAAAACAACACCAAAGTAAAAACGAAGAAATATGGAAAAAGAGTAAAAGACATAAAAATTATATTTATATTTCTCATCTTGAAAAGGCGAATAGACAGGCAGTAAAAAATAGAAATATAGAAGTTTTAATCAATAAGTTGCGGGCTAAGAAATTACCATTGAATGATATTTATTTTCTTTTAAACAATCGGAATTTCCATTGTGCTCAAAAACTAGTGAACATTTTGTTTTAACCTGTAACAAATACAAATCGCAACGTAAAATTTTGAAAAGTTTTATCTCCAACCACAGTGAATGGTCTTATTCATCAATAGCGAAGTGTAAAACAATAGATCATATTCAAAAAGTCGAAGAATTTTTTAACATCAACCAATAGATTCTAAGTACCAACTACTGTTGAAGCACAAGATGATAACCAAGTTTACAGATGTACAGCGCAATCACGTCCTATCGTTGCTTCCTAATTCAAGAAAATAATCCAATTTCCTTCAGAGCATAAGGCGCTGGCCAAGTCTCCAGGTATACAGTGTTATCACTGTATTGAACTGAACTGAACGGAACGTTGGAGAGTTTGAGTAGATTTGCTGAGGTGTTGTGAGTTGTGAGAGTTAAGTAGTATAGGGTGGGAGATTTTAGTTTATAATGTATAAAGTGTGAGATTTTAGTTTGTAATGTATAAAGTGTGAGATTTTAGTTTGTAGTGAATAAGGTGTGAGTAGAAGTTTGTAAATAAAGTTATTTGTTATTGGAGAGATTTATTTGTAGTTTGCGTAATCAGTACATGGTCAAAGAAAGGACGGCGACTGAGCAGACATCTCTTCCTAGCCTCCACATTACACCAAAGTGAGAAGTTTGAGTTTCGACAGATTTAACGAGCAACAGTCCCACTACAAGATGGGTCTTCAGTGTCACCAACTTCTTTTTAAAATAAGCATTAAATTTACCTCATTCTTAAAGCAGGTTTGGAAGAGTAAATATATAATCTGATTTTAATAGGTATTTTTTCAAAATTTTATATATAATTGGATGAAATTATGTTATGAACAGGATAATATTACTGCACTGAACTCTTTTTGATGGTAATGCAAAAGGAAACTGAGGCACATTAAGTTTAAATTCAGATTTAGTCTTTATGCTTGTATAAAATACAGGAAACTATTTTAAAGACTTCACCATTATCGCAAGGTTTTGGTGGTGTTGTTGCAGTAGAGTCAGACATTTGAATCTTGATTTAACTAAAGCCTTGTTGAATAGCGAAGCTGATGCGTTATAAGTTTGTTGAGATTCAAACTCCTCACGTTGATCTGAAAATGAATAGTCTGTAGAGCAATCCTTGTCATTTGACCATTGCTCAATATTGTGAGTTAACAGTCTTCGTGATTCGGTCAAGTTCATCTTTATTAAAGAACGTAAAGAGCATGCTGCTTCACTCATATCACCCCCTTCTGAGATGGTCCTGCCTCTACCTTCTGAGATAACAGCATGATGTTCCCTTGTCAACGAAAAACACAAACGATAGGTCTGCGAGCCAACAAGCCGACATAGTGGAGTCGGTTTTGAACAGTTTCATTCGAAACTCTGGTAGGAATGGCCTCTGTAGGTGCTGTTGCAAACAAGTTGAGTTCATAGGGTCATTTCTTCTGGCTGTTAATACTAAATATTAATCCTCATTTTGTGTTGTTCGAGGTGTACAATTTTATCCCAATCTTCAGAGAATACTTACAGTTTCCCAAAACCATTTCCATAGTCAGGAAAAGCACTTTGAGAAACTCCAAACGCTTTCACTACAATGGATTGTGTGGTCTCTAAACTACAGATTGCCATCCAGAATACTGATTTACCTAATGCTGAGACACCGCATTCCCCGTTACAAATAATTCAATGCGCGTCAGTTGTTTTTAGTCTATTCCTAGAGAAGAAATGTGTGTATGCTGCTAGAATGACTTTTCCCTCCTTGTCTAAAACATGTACTTTTCTACATCGCGAACAAAATTTACATATTTCCAACTTAACAAATATTGAAATTTTCATTTTTAGTCTCTTCTATTTCATTGTTGTTAAAAAAGGTTGTCGATAATATATTTATTGCATACCAAACTCACTCACTCACACACACACACACACACATAATAACTTCTAATTGTTTTGCGTAGTGCATCTTAATTAGGTATCATTTTTCAGACTGCAAATTGCTTCTATATCAATATTAAATTCTAACCATTGTTCTAGAACTAGCCTTATGTGTTTTATTATACTTATAATTTATCACAGAGTTAACTGATTTCTTTCACACATGAATTATAATCTATATTTTGCCTCCTCAACTGTAACATTAAAGGGTTTAAAAATTACACTCTAAAATGAAAAAGTACATATTTATGCGGTTTTTCTAAACTTTAAAGATATTATTTCATAAATAAATGTCTAATTTGAAAAATGAACGAATGAATGATGAATTTTTACATGAAAACTGAAACATTTCATGTCTGACTATGTGTCCGTGTTCTTTAATACTAGGTCAGCGTTTCTCAAACTGTGGGACGCGCCCCCTTGAGGGCGTGATAACTCTACGAGGGGGGCGGAGCACATAGAACAGTCGAAAACAAAAGATCATTTTGAAAAATTATTAATTTACTGAAAGTAAACAAAATATATTCTAATTTAACAAAAAATAAAATACACTATTATAATACACTTATAAATGTATCAGTACTGCACAATATATTTTATAATTACTTTAACAATACAAAGTTAAGAACAAGTTTAATAATTGCCAGGGACCCCATAGGATTGCAATATGTATAAAATTACACACAAAAATTAACACTTATCTTGATAATTTGTACGGTTTACAATTAATCCCTTAACTGGCGATTAGAAAAGTTACGCAATTCGCTCCCCAATTCCAACTGTTTACCACGTAGGCTCGATGATGTGTTGAGGGGGGGAGGAGATATAAAGAAGCAAATAATCTGAAATAAGAAAATACTTCGCAAACATTCTCAAGGTCCTTTTATTGCATTCCAAAGTCTTCGGAATAATTTTATAAATAGCATTGCACAGAAAAGATTGGAACGACGTATATATACGTCCGGTGAAATTAACGCTTTGGCTGAGCGAGACGATTATATACGCCGGTGACACTTAAGAGATTAAAGCCGTATCGTAGTTTTAGAGTCAAAGTATAGTATTATTAAATTCAATATATTGTTATTGTATGAGGGGGGCGTGAGGAAAATCATGATTGAATACTGGGTCGCGAATATTGAAACTTTGAGAAGCACTGTACTGGGTGACGAATGCCTGATACAGAAAACGAAAAGTGCAATGTAGGAGTTGTGTAGAAAGAACATATTCAAGACATATCAATGAACAAAAAAATTATCACACTTCGCTATAAAAAAGACTCGAATGAGCAATCATTACTTCAACTCTTCAAAAAAGAAACATCTTCAGACTTAAATAATACATACTATAATAGATAAAGAGGGCAAACACTTGAAGCAGAATAATGCCAGAAAGAAGTCGAATGAATCTCGGAGAGAAATTTGGTTCTATTTCTTCCAGACGCAGAATCTCTGAATGGGAATGCCTTTGTTCGACAGTGAATACAAGTTCTCCAATCAATGGCCGAGTGTGAATGGAATGCTGCTGACCTTTTTGAAGGGGCTTCCGGAACATGAAGTCATCAGAATTTTTTTTTCATCGTAAGAAAACTAAAAGATGAAAGGGGGAGTTTAGTCCACTGCGGATATTCAAGCTTCAGTGAATAATACCGCAGTGCTGAAGACAGAGATTGATTGCAGGCTTTTATTTATTGAGGACAGAGGTCAAAGTCTAGTGAATGGTTAAGTATGTCTCAATACAGATTTGCCAGTGGTATTAAGAAATTCTTACGATGCTCCCTAACTTCGTTAGAAAGATACAGAAAATTGCAGTATTTATTATTTGCATCATAAAACTTTCGTGTCAAAAGATTTCTGCTTAAAGTAATTTTATAGTCAAACATGAAGATCAAAACTAATTTCTATGTCACAAATTGGGAATACTTATGCTTACCGATTGTTGTTTTTGAAAATAAATTTTTTTGAAATCGACTCCTACTTAGGTCAACAAAGAAAAATTTTATTTTACTTATTTTTTATTAAACAGTTACAATTAATATAAATATGTATATATGTATGACAGAATCGCAATATTAAGTGACAAATCAGAAAGCGATTTCCCTTGCAATTTTCCATTTTTTTCTACATATGGTGTTGGATTATTTTTTTTGTTTGTTTGTTACTGTTTATTCATTAATTAAATTTAGTTATTTTAATTAAATAGTATAGTCAAAAAAGAAATCACGTTCTCAGAAATTTAGCCATCCCAGGTGGGATTCGCGAACCCACGACCTTTGGAACAGAGGTCCAATGTGCTATCCATTGCGCTACTGGGTGATTGTCCTTTTTATATCTGGTGTTGAACTATTATTTTTGTTTGTCACTATCTATTCATGAATTATTCAAATAATAATAAATTAATATTTGAAAAACTGTATTAACATCAAGTTTCCTCCGCTGCAAGTTTAAAAAATGTATTTGAACTTGAGTGGGTGAATAAAAGTATTTAAATAATGATTGAAAACTTGAACAATATATATATATATATATATATATATATATATATATATATATATATATCTTGTTCAAGTTTATCGTTATATAGAAGACATAATCATTTTTGGCAAACAAGTCAATTTTATACCTAATACTAATTTTTATCCACAATATCTTAATTTAATACAGACAACTAGTAGCAACAATGAAGCAAATTTTCTTGACATACATATGAAATTAATAGATAATGTAATAATTTCTAATATTTATGATAAAAAAGAAGATTTTAATTTCAATATAATAAAAGTTCCGCATTGGGAGAGTAATGTGCATATTTCTATATTTAGAAATATTATTATTAATTATATACAACGCAATAAATTTCTAGTGTCGAAAAATCAGAAATAATAAATAACTATAAACATTTTACTAAATATTACTTAAATCAGAAATACCCAATTCATTTTATTAATAGTTATATGAATAAAGCTATTCAATATTGTAAGGATTAAAAATTCTTAGATTAATTATAGTTTAATACTTTAAATTTACACATTTCATAGTTAAAGTTACCTCCATATTCTATTATTAGTTAAAATTAATTATTATTATTTAATTCATATATACTCTAGTGTCTCTAAACTTATGGTTTTCGTAACTCTTTTATTAATTTTTGTTTTCTATTCTTTTTATGCTTTTGTTAAGTGCTACATTTCAACCATTCACATGCTTTGAATCTGCATTAGGGTCCAGAATTTGGCAATAACTTATTTATTGCACTCAGATTTAGCACGGACTCTGCATTTTCAAGTAATTCTTAGGTAAGTTACCTCTATTTTGTAATGGATTTAGATATTCCTATCCATTACTTTCAATAGGTTTTTGCTCAGTATTATTTACATAAAGGAGGAAGGTTGGCTGGCCAAAAAACATGTGTTCAACCCCACTTTTATATAATTTATATATTAGCTGTCCTAAATCAGCAATGTTTATAATACAGCAGCATCCATTTTATAATTTTTAATCTAGTGTCCTTCATTGTATGTTCTCTTTACTGTCTCTGTGTCTTTTTCGAATGTGATTGGTGAATGTTTATCTCTTGTCTGTAGAGAATTAGACTATATATATATATATATATATATATATATATATATATATATATATATATATATATATATATATATATATATATTGTATATATATATTGTATATATATATATTGTATATATATATATTGTATATATATATTGTATATATATTGTATATATATATATATATATATATATATATATATATGTAGGTAGAGTGTGAACTAATAGTAGAAAAAATTATTATTAAAACGAATTTCTATGCCATAGATTGTGAATAGTTAGGCTTACTGATCGTTGTTTTTTTAAAAAAATAAGCTCTGTGTAAAACTGTCGAATTTTTAAATTTCTAAATATATTCCATTAAGTTTAAAAAATCATATTTTTTCAAAATAAAATGCAGATTATTACTTAGAACAATCACTAATTTATTTTCGAATTCAGACCTTTTGTATGTTTTTGTTTTTGTTTCGCGGAATGAGATGTAGCATATAAAGTTCAAATGGGGTGTTGAGAATTTTGACAGAAATCTGATGGCCACGGTGCCTTAGTAGTCATGGCAATGAACTCGTGGATGGCATCGTGCCATGCTGGCATAGTGATCAGCACGTTGCATGAACAAATATACTTCAGTTTTTCAACTATTTCTCTTACGATATTTTATGGTTTTCGAATATGATTGGACAGAAAACTTCTGAATTTTATTTAAAACATGCAGAATATTCTCTTATCCCGTTTTTTACACATAACTGCACTCCAAAAAATCAAGTTTCAAATCCGAAACCTACCTAGCACAAACTTATGACTGTCACCAAACTAATGTAGCCATAATTGATTCTTTTTTGAAAATCTACATTACACATATTGGAACCGTTTATGATTAAATACTTGCTTGCAATTCCTTTCAGCTACTTGGAAATGAAGTATTATAAATAAAGAATCTACTCTCACACTACTTCAAAAGGGTGAGATTCCAAAATTGTATCTCACGAGAGCACATAAATTCTTTTCTGTAACGTCTTAATTTGCATATAAGTACTGCTTAATTGCTTTCTCGTCGCTGTTTTACATATAGCACTGCAGAGAGATTGACTTTTTTTCAGATTCCTTTAGTTTTGCATGCTGGTATAACAATTAAGATATTTTCTCATAAGGTTTCATTTTAACAAAAGACGTGAAAACAAAAAAGTACCTTCGAAAAAGAATCAAACCTTTTTTATTGAAACAGAGCATGTCTTTGAGTGCATTTTTTATATAATAGGCACTCTTTTTTTCCCTTTTTAGAATACTTTAAGTGAAATTAAGAAAGTTTCGTCTGGTTTAATTATTCAAAGCATAAAAAATTGAGTTCTTGAAAATTATATCAAAGTGAACGACAAACGCTATGTATTTCTACAAGATCAAATATAAAGACAAATTATGATTTTTAAAACATATTATAAACAAAAAGAAATTAAGCTGATATGTAGCACTTCTTTATGAAACATTTCATATAGAGTATTTCTGGTAAACTGGTTGATTAACATTAAATTCGATGCAAATATAAATTACGATTTAAAAAATAGAGCTTACAAATGTAGAAAAAGAGTGACTGAAATTTTGCTAAAAGGAATTAACTCTCTGTTTCTGAGCAGGATTTTAATTAAATACTTAAAGACTTTTGAAAATTATTTGCAAGTGAGCTGTAAATGAAAAAAGTGATAATTTTTTGATGTTTCAATCTGCTTTTCATATGCATAATTACAATTTTAAAAGAACATCTTAATTAAATTTAGTGTAGCATTCCGTTACTCACAGTTCGAAGAAAAATATGTTTTAACACGCAAGCAAAAAAAAAAATGCCGTTGGTAATTTCTTTGGGATTAACAGCTTTCATCATTAGTAATAAGTGTAATTTATTTTGGGCTCAAATCAATCGATTGTTTTCCAGCAAAAAAATGAGAGGCAAAAAATAGAAACATTTTTTTTTGGTCTTTTGTAACAAGGTTTCTTTAATTAATTATGGTAATTCTTTCCAAAGAATAAAGAATGTTTTTTAAAACTATAAGTTTGAAGAAAAGAAAAAAAACCGAGTCGTAATTAATAACTGAAGATTCAACTAAGCCTATCCTTGCTTTTTATCTACTGTTTTTTGTTACTATGAATAAAACAACTAAGACTGTATATCGCATTTCCTCTCCTTTTTGCTTACTTTAGCAAGGAGAAGGATAATTCGTAAAGTTTTTTATGATTAGCATTACAATAGTTCACTTTCATTATCGTTGAATTTATTTCTATTGTTATATGAGAAATGAAGAGGAAATTTGTGTGGCATTAAATTCACTTGATAATTATAATAGGAAATAAATTAACAAATTAGTCTTATTAATGACCACACAACGAGTTAATATCTATAGATTAAGTAAAACAAATTATTCCGCAAGCTTCCAGAAATTAAATTTGTGTAGCATGCGTCAAGTCGTAACATGAATAGATTGTGAGATGTGTGGTATTTAGTTACACTTGTTATCTGTAAGCATGTCTACCAGTGAGGATGTTTCAAAAATAAATTTGGTTTTTTTCCCGCCATTTGGAAGCTGTATCAAAAAGTGAGAAAACAGCCGGCTGGGTGGTGTGGTTGATCTATCGTTGGTTTTGTGCACCTAAAGTTACGCGTTCAACCCCGGCCCAGGTCGGGGGATTTTCATGATGCAGAAAATCGAAAGCGGTCATAACTAACGATTATACTGCATGTGAAAAAAATTCCTTGAGTGTCTGTTTGGCTTAGGTGATCACGGCAAAATTAAATTTCGAAGTAAGGTTTCGCATCGCCAGAGCTCAGGTGCCTCCCTCTGGGGGTAACTGGTATCGCCTATATGTGGTGCCGCATTAAATTACTGGAGAATATAAAGGGTGTTTTTTTAGAGGTATAGAACTTTAAATTGCAATAAAACAACGATGTATTATTCTGACATGAATTCTTTTTTATTCGAAAGATAATCTTGTACATTTTAAATATGATTTCTGGCATAGGACTGCCACGGCTGGCTCGGATGTAGTCCAATCTGGACGTCCAATTTTCGATAACTTTACCCAACATTTGTGGCCGTATATCGGCAATAACACGGCGAATGTTGTCTTCCAAATGGTCAAGCGTTTGTGGCTTATCCGCATAGACCAATGACTTTACATAGCCCCACAGAAAATAGTCTAGCGGTGTTAAATCACAAGATCTTGGAGGCCAATTCACAGGTCCAAAACGTGAAATTAGGCGGTCACCCAACGTGTCTTTCAATAAATCGATTGTGGCACGAGCTGTGTGACATGTTGCGCCGTCTTGTTGGAACCACAGCTCCTGGACATCAGGATTGTTCAATTCAGGAACGAAAAAGTTAGTAATCATGGCTCTATATCGATCACCATTGACTGTAACGTTGTGGCCTTCATCGTTTTTGAAGAAGGATTCCACCAGCCCATAAAGCGCACCAAACAGACAGTTTTTCTGGATGTAACGGTGTTTCGACATACACTTGTGGATTAGCTTCACTCCAAATGCGGCAGTTTTGTTTGTTGACGTAGCCATTCAACCAGAAGTGCGCTTCATCGCTAAACAAAATTCGCTTATGAAAATCGGGAACAACGGCAATCTCGTTTTGGGCCCATTCGACGAATCTACGCCTTGCTTGATGATCGTTTTGATGAATTGCCAAACCAAACAGAGAATAAATCACTTGACAGCTGTTAAATCGGTAGCCATCTTGGAAAGTAATGCCA